TGTGCTTTAGCAACTCTTACCCCTGCAGTGTAAGAAATACAAATATTTATAGGCTTGGGGCACTGAAACCTTAAAATTCTCTGGGCCATACTAGGGACCAAAAGTCAATGGCAGCCTGGAAAGTAATTGATAACATTTTTACAGGACGCAAGCAGATGGTCGGAGCTGCAGTAGAACCGTCATCTTCAGCACATCGATCTCATTTTTCATCTCCCTGAAAGCATTCCAGAGCTGCTCGGGATTGATCTCGCAAATTACTGAGGGGAAACAGCTCCCCAGATCCAGTGCTCTCTGCTCTGCCTCCTGACAGCCTTCCCTCCCTGTAGCTGACCCGGACCTGAGCCTTCTCCGAGGTCCGGCACGTTCCAGCTGGTGTGTGCAGCAATTCTGGAAATAACTGTAGCTGTGGACCAAGGCAGGAGCTTCTCTGGAGAGACCCAAAGGTTCCTTCTCTCCTCACCTGGCTTCCACCTAGTGTTGGAGTGAGAGGCCACAGCTGAAAGAGTTCTAGCCAACAGTTCTGGACGCACTCACTGAAGAGGTAGGCACTAGAGGCTCTGCACCAGCGCCAGGCTTTTATCTGTGTCTTTACTCTTTTCTCTGATTGCAATTGGAACTTTAACTTTCTGTTATTTAAAAAGATAGCAGCAATCAAGCGCGGTCTTCTGGCTGCAGTGGTTGGGCGAGTGCATGGGGTGTATTTATAATTTAGCCAGGGAATATTTACCTGAATAATTAATCGAGCTCCACAAAGGAGGAGGCCCGGTAGGGTCCCAGAACAAAGCTGCGGGCTGCAGGACGCCAGGGCCACCTCCCCGCCAATCAACCAGCAGCCTGGGTTCTGTTTGCTCCACAGCCAGGACTGGGCCCAGGCCCTGCCGTGAGGTTTGAGGCAGACTCTGCTGGGGACCCGTAGGAACTGAACTCTTGCACCACGCTCCAGCTCCAAGGCCTTTAGGGACCTGCCCTCCACCGGCTGGGGTCCAGATGGGCCACCTTGGTGTTGGCTGGGGCTTGGGGCGGTGGCTTCGACGACTGAGATCCTGCCCCTCCGGGGGCAGTTTGGGCTGTTGCGTGAGTGGCGTTCTTTCCTGAGCAACAGCGTCCACGGGGTCTCCTGGCTTTCCAGCGCGGCCTTGCGCCCATACTCTGCTGTCTGCACCTGCAACTTGCTCCAGCCCCTGCTGGATGCTATGAGAGTTCCAAGCAGGGTGTAGACTCGGGTCTTGGAGGGACCGGGTTGTGACAGGACATGATAGGGCAGGAACGGAAGGGACTGGACAGGATGAGAAGATTGGACAGGGTGGGCCAGGGTGGGCCAGGACAGGACAAGATGGGACAGGTTAGGACCGGATGGAACCTGACAGAGTGGGACAGAGAGGAAAAGGATAGGACTGGACAGGACAGGTCAGGACAGGAAGGGACAGGATGAGATAGAACGGGACAGGACAGGAAGGGACTGGATAGGATGGGCCAGGGCGGGCCAGGACAGGAAGGGAGGAAGGACAACACACTACCCCGGGGCCATCAGAGGCCCCTCCACCGCGCCGCCTTCGCATCCACCGCTTGGGTTTGCGCTCCTGTTCCTTCGCAGCCGCGATCCGGGCTGGCGGGGCGGGGCCGCGTCGTGACTGCGCTGCTGTCCCCAAGGCCACACCCCCCGGGAGGCGTGTCCTGCCCCGGCGGCCGGGCGGAGCTGTCTAGGATCTGCGCGGCGGGGACCTGGACGAGGAGCGGGTCTGGCGCGGGCGACCCCGGCTCTGAGCGCGCGGATCTGGCCCCGCACCCCGGGCGGCGGCGACAGCGAGGACCTGTGCTGCCCCGCGCGGACGGTGAGTCCCCGGGCCGCGCCCGCCGG